GGCAGCCAGCTGTTTTTCTATCAAAGTGGATGGTACCTCTGCCCCCTTCCAGAGTTGTGACCAGAATCCAAGAGGTTGGTGAGCTCATTCGAGCCGCTGCCAGAGACCCCAGCCATAACCATCTTCAATGCCATGAACACCCAGCTCACAGCGCCTTGATGGGTCTGTCACACTCAGGGCCTGCACGGCCTTGACTGCCCATTTTGCTGTAGAGGCAGATGCACATGTCTCATCTCAGTCCCACCTGACACCCTTTCGTACCAACCGGTATAAGGGCTTCAGAATTTGTGCCAAGTGCAGGATAAACACTCTCCAGTAGCCTAGAAGACCCAGAAATTCCTGTAGCAATGTTACAGTTGTGGGGATAGGAAAGGCCTGGACTTTGTGTATAATTGCTTCTCAAAGGCTCTGCTTACTGTATCAAGAGCCACCCCTACAGCTTCAGGGGTCACCTCCACTTGCCTCCAGTCCTGGGGTGGGGCCCAGTCCTCTAGGAGGCAAGTCACCTCAGACCACATACCCATTGGGGGACGATCCACTGTCTCCCCATTCACAGGGGCAGCCCACTGAAGCACCCCTCCCATAAGGGCAGCCTGTCTTTTTCCTTGGTCAACAGAGAACCCTGCGGACTTTCGCCAATTGTCTTGCCAATGGGTTTCAGCCCCGGGGCAAGTTCACTATGGATTCACTGTGACTAAAGAAATCGACAGCAAAACGTTCTTGTGGTGAAAGGGTTATACCCAACTTTATTTCCAGGTGGCAGTTCAGTCACTAGAATCCCGTCCACTCAGAGCGAGTCTGCAGGCAGCAAGCCCGTCTCTGCGTCTGGGCCCCTCTGTCCACACAGTCGTCCTGCACAGCTGTCCTCTGGGCATCTGCCCTTGGCACTGCCACCACTCCAACCTCTACTCTCCTGCAGCCTGGCAGCCCTGCCACCGTGTCGCGCCCAGAGCACTGGGTGGAGTTCTTTATATATTATATAGAGTCAACAGCCATGTATTGCCCACAGGTGTGCAGTGAGCCAGTCAACCAGGGCCAGGTGAGAATCCTGGCCACAGGAACTCTCATTTTATCCACAATCTCCCTTCTCTGGTTTTCTTGCTATTTTTCTTCGCATTGATAACTTTTTACTTGCATATTTTTATGCAGCTATTCTGTGCATAATAATTCTCCTCAGCAGAGAATATAAAGACTGCCACAAAGTCTGCAGACACTGGACCTCACAGACACAGCCTTAAAAACAACTATGCTCACTGTGTGCTAGGAAATAAAAAAGATGGAAAATTCCAGCAGAAAACAGGAAATTGAAAACAACAACAACCCATTTAGCTGATTTAAAAAAAAGAGCTAAATAGAAACTGGATGGGTTTAGCATCAGATTAGACAGTTGAAAAATTACTGAACCGGAAGATAGCTTAGAGGAAACCGCTCAGAAGCTGAGAAAAGAGCAGATGGGAGACAGGGTACGGCGAGAGGCCGTCATATATGCAACTGGAGACTTAGAAGAAATGAGTGAGATTGGGCAGAAATATCAGAAGAGCGAAAAGCTGGCAGAGACGTCTCTGAAAAGGATAAAAAACAAATCACACCAACGGTTCAAAACACTTATGAAGCCACGCAAGCAGATAAATGAAAATAAACCAACACCTTGAAACCTCGTAATAAAACCACAGAAAACTAAAGACAAAGAAAAATCTTAACTGCTGATCTAGAATTCTATGCATGCAGAAATTACCATTCAGTAAGGAAAGCGAAACAGAGGTATTTCAGATAACCTAAGACTGAGGGAAAAAATCACTAGCAGATCTACAGTTAAAAAATAAAGTCAGTGCTCATTACTCAGGCAGAAGACCAGCGAGCGCGGTTATTAGGATGGGGACACAGGGAAGAGCAAGGAACGTGGTTCCAAGGGAAAAAAAGCTTAGACTCAAATGAAGCTGATGCACTTGAAAACCAAGCTTTTTTAGGGTGGTGGCTCTCACGGTGTGATTTGGAGGTTTCCAAGGATTCCTGTGGGTCA